ACGATTCTTTGAATCTATCTATTTTTGGATCTACGAATTCATTGAAATTCAGAAAAGTTTTGGATCCATGAGTCCTAGAGTCCATAAATCCTAAATGCATCCTAGATTCCATGGATCTTAAAGTCCATAAACCTGGGCTCGATGAATCTTAAGGTCCACGGATCTTAGAGTCCATAAATGTTAAAGCCTCTGAATTTTAGAGTCCATGGATCCTAGAGTCCGTAAATGTTACAGTCCCTGAATTTCAGAATCCATGAATGTTAAAGTCCATAAATTCTAGGGTCCATGCACGTGAAAGTCTTTGAATTTTAGAGTCCATGGATCCTAAAGTCCATAAATTCTAGGGTCCATAAATGCAAAAATCCCTGAATCTTAAAGTCCATAAATCCAAAATGCTTGCTACTCTTTACGAACATTAGAGTCTATAAATCCTAGGGTTCATGCAAGCCAGAGTCCATATATGCTAGAGGCCATAAATTCTAGGGTTCACGCATGCTAGAGTCCACGTATCCTAGAGACCATAAATTCTAAACTTCATGAATGTTAAAGTCCATAAATCCTAGATTCCATGAACCTTACTGTACATAAACCTTCAAACGATGAATGTTAGAGTCCACGAAACCTGGAGACCATAAATTCTAGGGGGTCCGTGAATCCTAGAATCCATGAATCTTAGAGTCCACGGATCCCAGAGTTCGCGAATACTAAGGTCCATGGATCCCAGACTCCAACGATTAAAATCTTTATCGAACGAATGCGAATCCCAAAATTTACGAATACTCGAATACTCAACGAATATTCGGGTCCACGAATCTTCGTATTCGCGAACCTCAGAGTCCATGAACCCTAGAACCCGCGAATCTTAGAATCCTAACGGGACTAGGTTGTCACTCTAGAAAGTGCAAAAGGCAAAACGGGCACGGTTCGTTGATTTACGGATCGGTTTAATTTACGCACTCCATGTTAATTAACGGCGCGTCACACGTAAAGGAACGACCTCGCGTAAAAGTTAATGCGCGTACGCCCCTCTTATGGAGGCACGTGCACCGTCGGATGCGCTGCTTTTTTTCATCGCTGGCAGGTGCTGCATCGCGGTGCACCAACTACGTACAACAAATTAAATGCAGTTCAGCTTGACCCGCCAGATCGACGAACTTCTTTTTCACCTTGAGGCAAAAATAGCACCGTACTACGACGACTCGTTTCGACTGCCTCCTATCCGAATTTCAAATTTTCTCGACTGTTCCGTTGCTTTTTGGCAAGAAGGAGTGGGGGGGGGGAGAGGGAAGGGGAAGTAGCTCGGGCACTCGAGGATTTCTATCTCGCGATTTCTGTACTTGCTTGAAGTCAAACAACCCTGGATAAAAACTTTCTTTCCGGCCAACTTTTGCAACTGCCTTAAAAATAAAAATAAAAATAAAAATAAAAAATAGAAACCTTTTAAAATACGCTTTTGTTAAAGAACTCTTTCAATGGAGGAATATAGATATAGAGGGTATACTATCAAAATTTAACCAGTTATAATATAAAACGAAAAATGTTTCTTTATTTTTCTGGTTTAAAAATAAAATATTTGTACTAAACCGAGTTTTTCTTTTTTTTTTTTCTTTTTTTTGAGTGTAGATCTTCCTCTGTACAACTGTTGCCAAAGTATATATATGCATAATAATTTAACCTTGAAACGACCTTTGATTCGCAGAATTAAAATTAAATGCGATTTAATAAAAAAATATTCGATTAAATATAATTTGTTGAAATTGACGAATTTTTACTCCACGAGTATTTTCGAAATACTTAATTTTTGTGGCAATAGATTGCTATAGTAGCTTTTTATACTATTTAAATTGCATGGGAAATATTTCTAATACTATTAATTATAATTTATAGAGATGTTTACACGAGACATTCAGTATATAATAATAAAAAGCATATAGGAAGTTTTTAAAATTTTTCTATTTTAATATCAACGATTCGAATTTGAAACCCACGTTTCTACCAAATTTTGATTATCGATTATTTCGCTGTCGATTACTTTAATATCTACGGTTCAAATTTGAAACCTACATTTCTGCCAAATTTTGATTATCGATTATTTTTAAATCTACGATTCAAATTTGAAACATACATTTCTACCAAATTTTGATTATCGATTACTTTAAAATCTACGATTCAAATTTGAAACCTACATTTCTGCCAAATTTTGATTATCGATTATTTTTAAATCTACGATTCAAATTTGAAACCTACATTTCTACCAAATTTTGATTATCGATTATTTTAAAATCTACGATTCAAATTTGAAACCTACATTTCTACCAAATTTTGATTATCGATTATTTCGCTATCGATTATTTTCCTCGGAAAGGGAAGCGAAAAAGAAACCTCGAACAAAGTCTCGTCGATCGTCGTAGATCATTACATTAACTTCCGCGACGGATCGAAAATCGCGTGATTCGCACGTGACACGCATTTTTACGCGTCGGTTACGCAACGCGCCGCGTTTATGGCACCATCTCGGACCCACGCAGTGCACATGCACGCTCGATCATCCACTCTTACGTCGTTTCTCGTGGATCAAGGTCCCGAGATCGAATTTGGCGCAAGCACGTTTCGGTTTCTCTTTTTGGATCATGCATACTTTCTCCCAAACTGATACCTGAATTTATTATCAACCATGCACGAGACCAGAAACCTAATGCAATTAACCCCTTACCTGCAGCGATGTAATTTGTTCTACTCTCGAGAAAACAATAATAACAACACAACAGGGGGTAATAGACAATAATAAATGGTAACAAAGAAGTTCTTGCAGTGAAATTTCAAAAAAATTTTCAAAATCTGTTACGCTATTAATAAAGAAAAACATTGTTCCCCAATTTTGCAAATTGGACCTATCTGAAAATTACACGAATATAATGAAAATTTAACATGAGTCAATTATTTGCCAATTCGATCAACTCGAGCAGATATTTATTTTAAATATAATATTCGAGAAAATTAAAAAAATGGAATTAATTATATTGAACGATTCGTGTGTAAGTTATTAATACATGGGAAGGAGTCGGGAATCACGCGCCATTTTGAAAAAATTCACAAAATAATCTCGAAATAAAATAAAAGGGAAAGAAGGAAAGAAAAACTTACGTTTAAAATATTCGGTAAGTAAACGTGTATTTTTGGAGTCAGAAGCACGGAAAAGTTTGGATACCTCGAGTGTTTACACGAACTTTCTCCCTCCTGGTCACTTCCGAATTATCTCGTGAAATATTGACACGCGACTAAAATTCTATTTACCAGTCCAAAAGCAAGTGTCTAATTAAAACGCCGATAGACGTCATCCACTTGGACCAATGAAATAATTCCAAATCGTTCTCGTCGCTATCCAAACATCCTACTGTGCACGTGCTACAGTCGTGCCATCTTAAGTGCCATTTTGAATGCCATTTTTGGTGCTATTCTAAGCACCATTTTAAATGCTTTTGCACCGTTTTAGCTACCATTTTAAGTGCCATTTTGGATGACATTTTAAGCGCTATTCTAGGTACCATTTTAAGTACCATTATAAGTGCCATTTTAAGTACCATTTTGTGTGCTATTTTCGGTGCTGTTCTAGCCATTAACCATTTTAAGTGTCACTTTAGATGCCATTATAAGTGCCATTTTATGCGCCATTTTAAGTGCCATTTTAGGTGCCATTTTAGGTGCCATTTTAGGTGCTATTTTAGGTGCCATTTCAGGTGCTATTTTAGGAGTTATTTTGGGTGCAATTTTAAGTATCAATTTTGGTGCTACTTTAAGTGCCATTTTAGGTGCCATGTTGTATCTAACAGATCCTCTAACAGGCACCGTATTCGCGAATTTTTCTCGACAAATGAAAATTCTCGATTACGCGTGCGTTTTCCGACATTCCACCACAGTCAGTGGACACTGGAGCGGAAAAAATGGTAAACGATGCGGGAATTATATAAACGTACAAAAATACAACTCACATCGAGGTCGGGTTGGAAGTACCAACGAAACGAATTCGCGTGTAACGTTCGAGCGTCTGGTTAGGTTCGGCTGTCAGGTTCGATCTATTAATATACACTGCGAGCCGCCTGCCTAATTCCTAATGGAATATTCGTACAGATTTCTCGACGTGGACGCCTTAAAAGTATTCGACGCTGGAGCATGCTCGAACGTCAGCTATTTGGGCCCGGCGAAATGTCGAAATGCACGTAGACAAAAATTTTAATTCGTCGTTTAAAGAGGGAGAAATACTCGAAGGCTTCCTCGCTATAAAAATATTTACAAAAGAAAAGAAATGCTAAAAATTTGTCACGTTTTCCCAAAATATCGAGTAGCACGTTTCTATTAAATTATTATTAAATTAATATTACGAATATCGTAAATTATTTCTAAAATTAACCCGTATGCCGATGAAATCAAAAAATTTAATTATAAATTGTGCTTTGGGAGTGTAATTAATTTTAATTAGCCACTGTATATTCCCATAATCATAATAATGATTTAAATCAAGAATCCAAGAGAAATAATATTCCCGCCAATTTTAATTTTGATTTTCCTTTTTTCTTTTTTAATTTTTATTTCAGAAATTATATCAAAAACATCGAGGACAAAAATATGAATAAAAATTGATATTTTTATTCATATAAAAATAGCAAACAAAGAGAGATCAAAGATGGAGGCGGTTTCAGTTTCGTGGAAAGTGACATGGTCGTTCGATCAGCTGATCGTCCACGTGCTCCGCGTTGCGAGAACAATATTCTTCCTCGATGGAGAGAAATCGTGTTTCCGTTCGAGAAAACGTATTTTCGAAACGACGAATGTAAACCCGCCTTAAGGTATTGCCAGAGCAAAGGAATGTCGACGAGCTGTTAACGAAAATACCTAATCTCGCCTGGCAATAATAGCCAAGACATAAAAATTCCATAAAAATATAACAAACTCAGTTCACACGTGCTTTTCATTTCTACAATACATAACTATAATCATCCTACCTTAATTTCCCCTAGACAATCGTTGAAAAGAACACTCGTTGCTTCTCGAAAAGTCCATTCTTCCTCGAACCATCTTCTCTTCTTTGGGCTTCAAAATTGATCGTTTCTTCGATTTTGGATATATATGTCTTTCTCTACACTCTTTGTACTCTTCTACTAATGATTTCAGTTTTCCACCAGTAAAATTTCAACTAGAAGCGGACGTGGTACCCGCAATTAACGAAGGTGTGCACACTTGATCAGGTCTTCGAAGAAAAGGCACTCGAGGCTACGGTTCTTTTTGTCCACGCGAATGGACGAAAGCAGCGCATGAAAGGTAGCATTATTCGTTCGTAACGAGACCCTTCGAACGATTCGATAACTTCCTTTTTATTCCGTGCTCTTGAAGCAACGCATCAAAGCGCACTTCAGCGGCGCGCGTTCAGACGACGCTGAACGACGCTGCTACAGGCTTCTTGCTCGCTTTGGACTTCGATACACTTCTCGAAAAGTGGCCAACACCGATTACAATATCCCTTTGAAGGATCCTAGCCAACGGTCCTCACGTACGCGCCATTTTCTTCCACGCTCCGCGCGCCATCTCCTTCATCCCGACTAGCACCCCGGGCCCCGAGTTGCTTCCAAATTCGCGAGGCAAAGTTTCGAAAGTTTTACAGCCAAACGATAAAACGAGCCCGTCGATCTATTTTCTAATTCTTCCCTCGTCCAACTTCCCAAAATGGCAGCCAAATTCCACGGCGGGACCTTCGAACCGCTATCTTTAGACGGTTCGACCTCCAAACTCCTCGAGCAATTCCCAAATCGAATTACAGGACTGGGCACACTCGTTTCCCATCGACTGTCACTCGTGGAATTTTAAATTTCGAACCGCTATCTTTAGACGGTTCGACCTCCAAACTCCTCGAGCAATTCCCAAATCGAATTATAGGACTGGGCACACTCGTTTCCCATCGACTGTCACTCGTGGAATTTTAAAGAGAGAAAATCGATAAGCAGAAGTTCGAAATGGAACTTCTATTTTGGATGTAAATAGAAACCAGTCGAAGAGGTACACTTGAAACGTCCCTCCGGTTACTTTGCCCCGAGAAATTTCTATCCAATTTCCATCGGAAGGTTAGTTCCCAGGCACTTCAGGCCACTCCTTCTCCATCAAGCCAGAAATCATCGAAGAAACACGGAGGTATCTCCGAGTCCTTATCTCCGTTGCAGTTGACCCTATTTTATCGTCAGAACTCCAATTTTATCCACGTTCCAAGTCCATTCCACGAGTCTCGGAGTCTCTTCAAACGCTGATCTTGCTCAAACGCTAACCGAGATGTCTCCGGAGTTCCATCCTCGTAATAACCCCTCAGCTTCCTGCCAACTTCGATTTCACCCACGTCTCTTCTCGGAACCCTACTCTCTTCCTCAAACAGAGAGCCTTCGAAGAAGCGCGCACACTGCGAGGAGCCTTAGAAGCTCATCTCTCACAGAGCTAGCTCTCTGTCACTATCAGGGATGCGATTCGATCCGCAATTTTTCCATCCCGACACTTTGCTTCTTCTTTGAGATCTTCTGATGATGCGTTTCGTCGATTTAACGACAGACTGTCATTTTTCTGAACGAATTTCTGGGATCGGGCAACTCGGACTCGCGATGAGGTTGAAGTGGACTCGGAACCGGGAAAAACGGAGGGAGATAGGGTTCTAGGACCCTATTTAGAAGCGGTGTTGCGTGGGGTTGCGCACGAAGGATGGCCGCACGCAGTCACGGCACAACACTTCACGGAATACTGACAAGTCAGGGCAGAAGAGGAGTCCGCGACGATGCCATGTGACCGTCATTCGTGCTCTCCTTCTCTTCTCTTCACTGCCACCACCCACGCATCTGGCAGTGGCCAGAAGAAACGCCCATGTGCGACTAAGCAGCGTTATTTCGAGATAAACAAGGAGAGCGAACGGAGAAGCGAAATCGACGATCACATACGTGTGCGTTGGTGTGCGTGAACAGTGTAAAAGGGAAACCGAGGGTATATTCCTCGAAAGGCGAGACGCGCCACGACTAAATATAATTGCTCGCGCGAATCGCTTTCGTGGTGGAGTTCGATGGGTGGGGATGGTGGCAGGGCTCGCTGCAAAATTCGAAGGCCCTTTTGGGGTGAAAGACGAAATTCTGCCAGGAATTTGAGGGTGAGGAGGGATCGGGTTGGTTGGTGGTCGAAGATAAGTTATTCGAGGGTGGTTGAGGATTTTCGAGGTTCTTGGCAGCTGATTATATGTGATCGTGACAAAATTATTTGTGAATTTTGCTGATTATTTTTTGAGGTTAATTGTTCTAGTTTATTATATTTTAAATTATACAGGAATTTTCTATATTGGTAGATTGGGGTTCTTTGTTGATAAAAGGGAAATAATTCAAGGGTAATTGTTAATTTTTTAGTCTTTGATTATCTTATACAGATTAATTGATAGGTTCTATTATACTTTAAATCATAGGAGAATATTTCCTAGCTTGATATAATTAAGATCACTAGTTCCTAGGAATATAGGAATTCGGATTCCTGTATAATCCGCAAGACGTGAAGTATTGCCACAACATTCCTGCAGAAACAGCCACGTTCGAGAAGTCGTGAAACATTCCGATCATAGCAACGAAATCCTAAATCCGTGCAATTGGAACAATGAAAAGTACCGCGAAGAACTTCTAGACCGCCATTATTAACTGCACAAGTCACATAACCTGACAAAATTAACAAAGTAAAAATACAAACATTTCCCATTTCGTTATTTATAAAATAAACCAAACATAACCTATTATTTCAAGAACCGCTCAAACCAAACCTCGAAGAATCACCATAATACACTTACATCTTAATATTTCAAACTTTGTTATTTATAAAATAAACCAAACATAACCTATTATTTCAAGAACCACTCAAACTTAACCTAACTCTTCTTCCCTAAAAATAACCTCAACAATCGTGCAACGAATTTCTGAAAGCCTCGAACAATCACCATAATACACCTAAGTACATCCAAACATTTTAAATTTCGTTATTTACAAAACAAATCAATCGACAAATCTAACCTAATCCTTCTTTCCCAAAAATAACCTCAATAATTGTGTAAAGTATTTTTGAAAGCCTCGAAGAATCATCATAATACACTTCCATCCAAACATTTCAAATTTCGTTATTTATAAAATAAACCAAACATAACCTATTATTTCAAGAACAACTGAAACCTAACCTAATTCTTCCTTCCCAACAACTAGAAGCCTCGAAGAATCACTATAATACACCCACACTCGGCATTTCAAATTTCGTTATTTACAAAACAAACCAATCGAGAAACCTAACCTAATCTAACCTATAATTTCAAGAACGATCAAAATACAATCGCAAAGGAAGTATGTATCTACAAAAATGGGCTCAAATCCACTTCGTCCTTATCCCCAAACCTAACCTAACCTTTCTCTCAGCAATAACCTCAACGACCAAGTACCTTATCTGCGAAAAACCTCAAAGAATCGCGAAAACGTGCTCACCTCTCGAAATCTCGGGAAACCCTGTTAAAAAGAGCGAGGAGAGAAAAAACGAAGCCGGTATAGTCCTTCGAGATGTTCCCGTGGATCCCCGCGAAGGGTACCACGAGCATCGCGTGCGTGCGCGCACGCGCGACCAGCAGCGGCCACAAAGAATTCCAGTTGGGGTAAGGTTAGTGCCGCGCGCGTGCACGCTAGCGTGTCTGTCACGCATGTGCGTACGGAAACAGAGCGGAGCGTGGGTTTCCTCCCGCGGTGAGGCCTGCTCTGCCGCGGAGGGGCACGTTTCCTTTCGGTGCGGTGCATTGTGACCCCTTTCGTCGCGCTCTTTCCCCCCACCGCGAGGAGCATTAGGCTGTTGCACGTAATCGGCGGAACGATCCGTCGAAATAATCGGGATTCTTAATAACACACGGCGCAACAAGGTTGCGCGCACGGAGAACCGTTTATCGCGCTGATCATCGCCGGCTGCTGCGCCGGTTGGCAAGTATAAGTAATATTGCTCGCGTTTCGTGCCATGTCCGCTCGAGTGCCGTATGTACGTGGAGCTACGGAATTCGCGCTGTTACAGGGGATAACGTTATCGTGAGTGATTGTACCATTAGACAGGGGATCTGTGATGGAGGAATCGGAAATGGCAGAGTCCACTTGGAAATCTTCTTTCTCGTCTACTCCACGAGAAACGGATGATTTCGATGATTCTTCGGTGTGTTGGAGAAATCAATTTTTCAGGGAAGTTTGTGAATTGTTTATGAATGCTATTGACAAGTGATATTTGATGGAAAAACGAGGTGAATTGGTATAGTAAATCTTGCATGGTGGAGATTGCCTGCTTTCAAAGGAGATTATGAATAATTTATTAATATCGTTGATAGATGATGAGACGAAGGGTGAATTTTCCATTTTTAGGGTAATTTGTGAATAATAAATTATTGACAGGTGAGTGATAATGAAAAATCGTGGTAAATTAGTACAGCCAATTTTGCATATTTAAAATTTTCCGAATTTGCATATTAATATTTGTCACACGAATTTCGTACATTGAAAATTTATGCTTCTTCAGGGAGGTTTAATTTTCAGTTGATTTATGGCCTTTTGGTGCTTAAAGGACGCGAATGGCTGTATTCAGTCAGATTTAAACCTGTATACAAATATCTCATCACTAAATGATTTAATTTATGATCCTGGAATATTAGTTTCATTTGCGATATTCTTGATTTTTGTCAGGATATAATTGAAGGGATTGGAAGTAATGGAAATTTCTGGATATGATGTGAGAAATCAGAAATAATATAAAATAATGGGAAAATATAGAAATAAAAGCGTTCAGGAAGGTAGCCTTAACGGCTGCGATCTGGAAGATCGAAAAGAGAGGAGTGAGGGTGCGAGAGGAGGACAGGTAGAGAACGTTTTAATTGCAAAAGGGAACGGTGTTCTCGAGTTTTAACGGAGAATTAAGATTGTTTGCCGCGGTAACTGTTGCTTGAATTATTTATGGACTTGGCATACACCTCGATACCCTGATGCCTAACTATGGATTACTTCGTGCCACTTAGAAACTGGTATTAAATAATATACTATAGCTCGTTCCACGATATCATACCTCAGAAATGTACGAAAATTTCGAAAATAGTTTATACCAGCATTTTATACCAAATATTCGTTTCGTACATATTGTTAAAAATAACAGGTACATGTAAAAATTAATTAATTTGTCAACGAAGCTAACTAATAGACTAACTTAATAATTTGTTAATAAAATATGATCTAAAAGAGCGACTGAAATTATTACATTTTTAATTTTATCATTAAAATTCTAAAATTTTTAAATTTAATCAATAAAATCCTAAAATTCTAAAATTATATTATTAAAATTATTAAATTCTAATATTTTATCATTAAAATTCTAAAATTTTATTATTAAAATTATTAAATTTTATCAATTATCGAGGATGGCTAATAGAAATTAATTTATCGTTAAGAGGTAATTCCATAAATTATAGATTCATAACTAATAAATTTAAGCACGAATTGTATTATAACGGAATGAGATATAAAATAAGTAGTAAAGAAACGCGGATTTTTGAGAAGAATAGAGAAACCATAAGTGTCAATGGCTCGTGGCCACTAGGTGGTCTATCTTCTTTCTTTGACACGGTCTTTGCGATTGGCAAAATGGCCTCAGAGAGGGGCTCGTGCTGTCACGTGCCACACACTCGAATGTTGAAAAATGTGGCAGCTTTTCGTTAGGTTCGTCGATTTGCCAGAGAAGAGAGAAGGAAGGAAGGTTAACATTTGGCTGACACGTGTTAAACACGTTTAA